TTTTTTTTTAAAAAAAAAAAACCTTTTATCTTTGATGGTCCATACAAATAATTTGGTCCTTAGGGACCATCATTTTTTTTTGCTCTTTTTACCTTAACATGTAACACCTTCTAAACACCTCATGTATGAGGTGGGTTAATAATATATTACAATAATATTTTTTTTGTGTTTAAAAAGAGGAGAACGAGTTGGATCCTCTCTCTGCAAAAACACTCTCTCTTACGCCCCTCCCTCTCAGTAACGTTGAGCCCTCTTTGTGAATTAAGGAATGCAGTGAACTCCTTCCCTCTAGCCAAATTTTATCGAAAATTCCTTCTCAAATATTATAGGTAAATGATCTCATTATCCTGAAAAATAGTCTGTTCACCATTTTTATACTGTAATTTTATGCGCATATGGTATCATTTTTTTCTCTTAAAATTATTATTATTAGAAAATTAGACATTGTAAATTATTAAAAATAAAGTTTCTGCATATTATTATGACTTTTAGACACTGTAAAATTCATGTGTAAGTGATGTCATTTCTGGTAAAATCATTATGTGAAAAATTGATATTTCTGCAATTAATTATAATACTGCCAATATCGTGAGATTTACGCATTTCTGCATTTAATTGTATTTTTGTTTGTCTATGAATTTTAGATACTATAAGTTTTACCTATTCCTATAAAATAATTAATTATGAAATTACATTCCATAAAATTGTGATATTTATGTGTCTAACCTTGGATTTCTATAAAAGCTCTTAAATTGATAATCGACTGCCTATTGGATTCCATTTCAAATATACATGTTTGATCTGCTACCTTTCTGCGATTTTTATCCAAATTGTTTGATTGGTTACTTACAAATATTTCAACGAAAGTAATTGTTTAAATTGTTCAAGTGAATTCCTGTTAATGATTTCAATGATACTTTGAATATACGATGTTGATGCTTTCTGATGTTAAAGAGTTTCTGAGATAATTTAAGTATGTGTGGACCTATCCGGGACGCCGATAGGGACTATTTGGACTCATCGGGACGCCAGTGAGATATGTTTGGACTTGTAGGGATTGTTTGGACCTATTTGGTTACGCCGGTAGGGACTATTTGGACTCATCCGGGACGTCGGTGAGGTATGTTTGGACCTGCAGGGATTGTTTGGAACCATCTAGGACGCTGGTGGGGTATATAGGTGACCTATTTATGACGCCAGTAGGGTATTTTGTGAAATCCTTGAGTTATGCATTGCTGTTAAAATATTTAT